AGCCAACCTTCATTGTGGAGACGGCACCTGATGTACATGTATCGAAAGGTTGGCTGTACTTCGGGTCACTGTTACTTATCATTTCAGGTGCGAAGAATTAACAAACAGATCGTCCCATCGGTCTACGTTGATTCTTCTGGAGAATTCCAATGGCACAGCTCTACCCACTGTTAAAACAATCACTGCCCAAAATTACAGTCAATGTCACAGGCTGGATGAAAGTAACTATCTATATATCATAAATAACACAAAGTTTATGAGCAATGCTAACAGCATGTTTAGCTTTGGCTCACTGCATGTTTAGGTTTGGCTCACAGCATGTTTAGGTTTGGCTCACAGCATGTTTAGGTTTGGCTCACTGCATGTTTAGGTTTGGCTCACAGCATGTTTAGGTTTGGCTCACAGCATGTTTAGGTTTGGCTCACTGCATGCCAAGCTGGTAGTTTGAGCTGGCTGCTAGGGTGTGTGACCCATGGCCACTGCTGACAGAGTTGATGAAGTCACTTAGGTTGGACACTAGCTGATGATGTTGTAGCTTCAGTTGTCTTCTAAGACAGGTGAGCCTGTTTCACCACTGGCAGGGCTGGTAAGGACACTCGCAAATAGGATATTGGGTTTACCTGGATGAGGTATTAAGGGATGATGGATTGGGGCGGTGGCTCTTGCTGGTGAATCTCTCATTGTGATCAAGACACTGGTCCCAGTTAAATCAGCAGATCATGGTATCAAAGTACAATGAAACCTTTGTTAGCCAACTATTAAATACTACTATTTATCCTCCCTACCATCCATCCTCAGTATATGCTCAGATAGCAGTGATTGGCCTTCTTAGAAAAGAATAGACCTGGCAGAAATTATCCCTTGATGTATTTTAGCAACACGAATAGCCATGCCCCAGACTTTTCCAGTAAAAACAGCGATTGCCAAGCACAGGTTAAGATCGACTGTCTTCCTCCCATTAAACAAAATCTATTAAAAAAAAAAGGCACACAATAGATCATGGAATATTTATCGAGCGTAATTTCTAGTAAAGAAGACAACCCCTCAAACCAGCCTGTTGTTCACCTCCAAGAATCAAACTGGAACTGTCCCATCCCAAGCTGATTGTACAAAAACGTCCATTCCCGGGCTGAATGTTGAATTTTGAATTAGGAGTCGACATCACACACTCGGGACACTATCATAAGCGTTCCATTCTCATCTTCAGCAGCAGGCGAAGAGTTCCCATTCCGATGGCACCAGTAACCGTCTGATTGTAAAGCCGTCTCATCCTTCCCCTGAGTGTTGAGTGTCGGCCAGATCTCTGGTAACTTCTCGCAGCGCCATTCTCCTCATCGAGGGCTATAGCGCACGAAATAAAATAATCGTTATCTAGGTCAGCTCCAGACCTGAATGAGCCATAATTCTTTCCCAACATATCAACTGTACATGAATAAAATCATTTTTAAAATATACAAGATTCCATTAGGTTTGCCAATCTCTGAACGAAGATAAGGGATATCTTTCCTCTGAGCGAAGGTAACACTTTCCAGTTCGGTTTTCGCTGCAATAGGAGTGGTGTGCAACTGGAGATCCATAGCTACACCGGTCTAGGCGTTGAAACAAGGAAATATGACTCCACTTAGTTAATTCAAATACAACTTACCCATGCTCTTTTGAAGTTCCCGGGTGAAACGGTGACTTATGAACAAGGTATAAATGTAAGTTGACAGTGAAGGGGTTAGAACGTCTGCCAACCACGGGCTCTGTGTCTCGAGTGACGACACAAATCAAAACTCGCACGTGGCAGAAGCGGGAAGAATTACTTCCGCGTAAGAAGCGGTAGTTCTTTCCTTAAACAAAAATACTCCCAACTCTTAGAAATCACTGACCTGTGAGTGAATTCATAACATAAGTCACGCCCAATAGATTTAGGATTAAACAAAGTCCCTGTTCCAACATCCTGACCCATACTTGCCAAAGGAGTGCTACATACTTATTGAAGATTGGTCCATTTTTCAATACAGATTATTTGCATAGAGGTGTACAGAATGTGGAAGAACCTAACGTAGAGGGGTGTTCTAGCTTGTTATGCGACAGCCACATCTTGAGAATGATGCACAACCTCCATAGCTCTAGCAACGCTTCCTAGACAGCCTATGTGTTGGATTTGAAGCAAAAACAGTGATGCCACTAATATGTGTGTTTCTTTTTTTTTTTTTTTTTAAATTCTTTTTAAATACTTTCTTTAAGCTAAGCCTTGTGAAATTTTCAATACTTATTAAAAAAAAAAAAAACAGAATGATAAATAAAAAAAAAAAAAAAATTCTCATCTTTTTCAGAATATTTCTTACCATCTGGCCCCCCCCCCCCCCCCCCCCCCCAAATCGATTTATCGTTTGCGTGGCAAAACCATTTTGTGTCACGGTCTGGCATCTCTGTAATAACTGTTTGTTTCGATATGATTTTTACTACAACGAGTACGAACAAATAATTTCTCAACCAGGGCCGACGGTCACCTTTTTTCACGCTTGCAACACCAGAAGAGGCAAATGTAATGGTTGATTAGCGTCCATGACAATGTTGTATCATGGGAAGATAAAAACCGAACGAAAAGTAGATAAGCGAGCTTCACAATATAACAAACACAAACAAAACGTGAACGTTGCGACTATAGAGACATCATCAGCACATACACAATCAAGCAAAACGACACGAATACACAACAATACCTAACAAATAATAGAACACAGTTTAGACAAGTGTGACGGCACAAACTGATAGTAGCAGTTCTGGGCGGGTGGGACACACGGGGTAGGTGACATTTGTGAACTGCGGTGAAGTTATAAAAAATATTCTTAGAAAAATATAGAACTAAAGAAAAAGTAGACCAGCGAGCTTCGCATCAAAACAAACACAAACAAAACGTGACTGTTTTAGCGGCTATAGTGCCTTCATCGGTCTGTGTCTGTAGCTTAGGCGTTGCGAACGCGCTTCATAATGCCGGTGTGACGGGTTCGATCCCAGCTGCAGGCCTTGCGTTCGTTTCGACAGTGGTATAAAAAAGTCGACCTGCCAGAAAGCAATGGCAAACTACTGGACGTAAATTTGCCTAGAAAAACCACAATAGCCAAAAAATGCTGGGATTGGTTCTGCAACTTCCTGTAAAAGATACGAAACTAACAAAAGTGTCTTCATGACCACATAAATCAATCAAACAAACCACACGAATACACAAAATAAATAAACAAACAATAGAACACAGTGTAGGCGTGTGACGGTCGTGGCTACTATCAGGTCACTCAGTCAAGGCATTGTTTACACCACAGGTGCATGAGGCTTTAAGCGATCGATCAGTTTGCTCCCTCCAGGCTGCTACCTCAAAATTGACCATTTGAGATTTAAAAACAGCCTGGGCGGCAGACCAACCCCAGTCAACTTTAAGAACTTCTAATTAGAGCACCCGAAAGATGTTACACCAGTCAGGTGTAACGTGTGGTCCTGTGCGGCTAAGGACGGCTGGGCTTCGATACTAGAGTAGTAAATTTGTAAGGTATCCCATAAGCTTCCATACATTTAAAAGATAAATATTTATCTATGGTAAATTGATGGATCGCTTAAAGCCTCATGCTTGACAACCATTTTGTGTTTATATAATTTTGCTGGACGTCAGTGTTCCTGGACTTTTGTACACCGCCAGCCCAGCAAAATAGGCTCCGTTGTTTCGCAGCCGACTTGACAGCTAGCCAGACAGGAAGAACACAAAAACATAAGGGTTTCCAGCTAATGCGACAATTGTGGCCTGCAGAGTTGAACATCAAGGAGAACTGGCTCATAAACAGCATCCTGTCCTGAAAGTTGAAGTATTTTGGCCGCATCAAGCGTCATGGTGGCTTGGAAAAAAACAGTGATGGAAGGTGCAGTTTGTGGAAGGGGAGGCAGGGGTCGATTACCGCAAAGATGGATACAAGACATTGAAGATGCACTGGCAGTGAAAGCACATGGGGCTAGAGAGCTGGCTAGAGAAAGCAATACTTTCAGGCGTGCCGTGAAGAGAGCGACGTTCTGTAAAGGACTTCCTGATTGATGAGAGTGAAATCTTATATATGTGGCTGGACCGCTGTTACTAACAGACGATGGGCCACAGCAACATCCATTCCTTTTTTTTTTTTTTTTTTTTAATATGCCTGAGAAAGTATTTTTTACACCAGTGGAAGTCCTTGAGGTGTTATTCATACAGACTGGAAGAAAACCACCACCTATCCTACCTCGTCACATGAGTAAGCCGAAATTGTGTGGCGGCCCATGTGACTTTCTACAGGGGTTGAAGAACACTGGCTGTCATTGTTTTAAAAACACATTTCGATGCGTGCTCCCTTTTCTCTGAACAACACATGTATACACCGCTGGACGTTTGCTTGCAGTGGCTTTGGTCATAGTTAATTCTTTCTACGTATGGAAACTTACGACGATGTGGTCAATATCATGCCGGTCGCCTTTACGTCCTATTTCAATCACATTTACAGGTGCAGAAAGAAAGAAAGAAAGGAAGAAAGAAAGAAAGAAAGAAAGAAAGAAAGAAAGAAAGAAAGAAAGAAAGAAAGAAAGAAAGAAAGAAAGAAAGAAAGAAAGAAAGAAAGAAAGAAAGAAAGAAAGAAAGAAAGAAGAAAGAAAGAAAGAAAGAAAAGAAAGAAAGAAGAAAAGAAAGAAAGAAAGAAAGAAAGAAAGAAAGAAAGAAAGAAAGAAAGAAAGAAAGAAAGAAAGAAAGAAAGAAAGAAAGAAAGAAAGAAAGAAAGAAAGAAAGAAAGAAAGAAAGAAAGAAAGAAAGAAAGAAAGAAAGAAAGAAAGAAAGAAAGAAAGAAAGAAAGAAAGAAAGAAAGAAAGAAAGAAAGAAAGAAAGAAAGAAAGAATCATAAACCCAAACAAACGATCAAAGAAACTGACCAGTCCACTCTGTTTTGATGTCCCAGGTGGTGAAGAAATGCGGTCACTATTTCACACTGGACAACACCAGATTGTACATGTTGCGGCGCATGGAGGAGGAGGGACACTGTAAGGTGGTGCCCGTTGACCAGGTCTTGCTCAAGAAAGTGCCTGAGGCTGTTCAGCAGATGATGGTTCTGCCTTCCGACGCAGAAGGTCAGTTCAGCGGTTCAGACCCGAGTATGTGAGTTTCTTGTGTGTTTCATTGACTGTTTGTGTTGTTTGTCTGAATGTCTGTCTTCCTTTCTGTCTCATCACTACCCTCTATCTCTGTTTCATATTCTGTATGTACGTCCTTTGCGTGAGGTTAGGTCGGTGGTTCAAACCGACTGTGTGAGTCTCATTGTCTGTTTCATTGTCTGTTGTCTTGCCTGTATTCTTGTTTGTCTCACTGTTTACCTCATTCCCTGACTTATATTCTGTCTATTTGTCTCTTGCGTATTTTATCGCCTTTCATAGCTTCATAGTCGCCGTGGCGGAACGGCCAGACTCTGGCTGCGGATCGGAAGGTCGTGGGTTCGCTCTCTGGCGGAGCCAAACTTTTTTTTTTTTTTCAAAAATGACCTTGGCTCCCAGGTCGACCCAGCCTTGAGTGGGTATCGGGTGCAGTCCCGGAAAGTAAAGGCGGCTGGCGTGATGCTGACCACTTCACCCATCTTGTGCCGTTGGTCTATAAAATATAGGTCTAGCCCTATACGCCTAAAAAGCATGGAAGAGGGTCCTTTACTATTTAAAAACATTTTACATACCTTTATGTTTCATAAACTTCGTTAGTGTTCGTATAATTATGTTGCAGTGTATGACTTATGTACTTCTTTCATTTGTATCCGTGTCTGTATCGTTGTCTGCTCCTTAGTCTGTCTTTTTGACTCTCTCATTTCCTATCTCGTATTCTGCCTTTTTGTCTCATTGTCAATATCATCCTTTTCCTAATTACCGGTTTCATAGTCTATCTTTTTGTTCGTATTACTGCCCATCTTAGCCCGGCTCGCTATCTAAGCTGGTTAAACCTGACTGCGCAGTGACCTGGTGACGAGCTCATTGTGGTCCAGGTTCAACCCCGGTGGGTAGGCAGAAAAGCCACATTTCCCCCAGATTTATGGTATCTGTCATGGAACCAAGGCTGAACGAAGGGTTGCGATATCCATATTACCGAGCAAAAGGGTTAAAAACTCATGGTTTCTGAATATTAACAAAACAAAAAATATGCCTGTCTCTTCACCATTGATTGTTGGCGTTATTTATCTAGTAAACTGTCTTATTATTCGTGTTGTTGTCTCTTTCATTGTCCGTCCTTAGTCCTGTTTTTGTATTTTATTGTGTTTCATTGCCTGTCTCATTGTTGAGCTTATGCTTTTTTGTTATTATTGTCTGTCATTATTGTTTTTCATCCCTTTGTTCTATTGACCCCTGCAAGTGTTTACGATCCCGATTAAGTCTCCGTCGGTTGATCAATCGGTCAGTGTTCCCCTCCTGTATTGCTGTCTCTAGGATTACCACATCAAGGTTGAGAAGCAAACGACTAAATCCCCCAAAACCCGCCCAACCGTATCTGTAAGCAACCGTCAGTCAGTCCCTGTCAACCATGAAGTTGTGCTGCTGGTTTTAGGAACAGTGTCTGCTGTGGACCAGTAGGGGAGTGGCCGTCTCCGCCACATTGTCCATCCGGGTTACGCCTTATTGGCCAACCCCTCCCTCCCTCTTTAGATATTCAGTGTACGCTGTTTTCTTAGTTATACTGAACGCGGTTTTTTACTCCCCGTCCGCGCGTTGGTGATAAATAGGCCTTGACATTCTCTTGAAGGAAGTTTTTCGCCAGGGACACAGATGAGTATCATTTATTGTGTACATTAGAGACCCATGTAGTCACTTCATAGTTAGAGCATATTTGTGTATGTGTACTGTATTGTTCTTTGTGTGCTGATGAAGGCTAATCGCCGCAACGTTCTTTGTTTGTTTACTGTGATCGATTTTGTAAAGCTAACAGAAACTGTTTTTTTTTCTTACCAATTTTTTCTCTTCCCTATAATTTCCTAACTCTTTAAAAACATAGTCCACATAGAAACGTTGATTCTCTATCGTTCTGTGGCTGTTTGTCTCTCAGAAGATTTCTCTCTAGTGTAAGCAGTCTATAGCTTGCTGCGTTTGGTTTCTTACAAACAGAAACAGTCTAGGCACGGGTCTGGGCACGTTGAATTGTACAGGCCGGAAAGCAGCCCGTGACCCAGTGTGTGGGGGATGGGGGACGGATCTTAGAGCAGCCAGTGACCCAGTGTGTGGGGGATGGGGGAGGGATCTTAGAGCAGCCCGTGACCCAGTGTGTGGGGGATGGGGGAGAGATCTTAGAGCAGCCCGTGACCCAGTGTGTGGGGGATGGGGGAGAGATCTTAGAGCAGCCCGTGACCCAGTGTGTGGGGGATGGGGGAGGGATCTTAGAGCAGCCCGTGACCCAGTGTGTGGGGGATGGGGGAGAGATCTTAGAGCAGCCTGTGGTCCAGTGTGTGGGGGATGGGGGAGAGATCTTCAGTGTGTGGGGGATAGATCTTAGAGCAGCCCGTGACCCAGTGGTGTGGGGGATGGGGGAGAGATCTTAGAGCAGCCTGTGGTCCAGTGTGTGGGGGATGGGGGAGAGATCTTAGAGCAGCCCGTGACCCAATGTGTGGGGGATGGGGGAGAGATCTTAGAGCAGCCCGTGACCCAATGTGTGGGGTATGGGGGAGAGATCTTAGAGCAGCCTCGTGTTTCATGTTGCTCGTTAACAACACTGTCTTGGTTTGACACTCATTCATCATCTTGGGGTAGAGATCCCCGTGTTGGGGATGGGGGAGAGATCTTCTCTGACCCTCTTCCAATGGGTGAGAGAGGAGAGTGAGATGGGGAGAGATCTTAGAGAGCCGTGACCCAGTGTGTGTGGAGATGGGGGGATCTTAGAGCAGCCGGTGACCCGTGGGGGGATGGGGGAGGAGAAACTTAGAGCAGCCAGTGCACACGACACACACACACACATGGGGGAGACATCTTAGAGCAGCCGTGACCACACACAGTGTTAAGCTGACGTGAAGACAGATAGAAGCACACACACACACACACACAGAGCTAAACAGATGTGAAGACAGATAAAAGCACACACACACACACAGAGCTAAACAGATGTAAAGACAGACAGAAGCACACACACACACAGAGCTAAGCAGATGTAAAGACAGACAGAAGCACACACACACACAGAGCTAAGCAGATGTAAAGACAGACAGAAGCACACACACACACAGAGCTAAGCAGATGTGAAGACAGATTGAAGCACACACACAGACAGAGCTAAGCAGATGTGAAGACAGATAGAAGCACACACACACACAGAGCTAAGCAGATGGGAAGACAGATAGAAGCACACACACACACAGAGCTAAGCAGATGTGAAGACAGATAGAAGCACACACACACAGAGCTAAGCAGATGGGAAGACAGATAGAAGCACACACACACAGAGCTATGCAGATGTGAAGACAGATAGAAGCACACACTCACACACACAGAGCTAAGCAGATGTGAAGACAGATAGAAGCACACACTCACACACACAGAGCTAAGCGGATGTGAAGACAGATAGAAGCACACACACAAAGCTAAGCAGATGTGAAGACAGATATAAGCACACACACAGAGCTAAGCAGATGTAAAGACAGATAGAAGCACACACACACAGGGCTAAGCAGATGTAAAGACAGATAGAAGCACACACACACAGGGCTAAGCAGATGTGAAGGCACATAGAAGCACACACGCACAGAGCTAAGCAGATGTGAAGACAGATAGAAGCACACACACACAGAGCTAAGCAGATGTGAAGACAGATAGAAGCACACACACACACAGAGCTAAGCAGATGTGAAGACAGATAGTAGCGCACACACACA